AAAAGAAAGAAAGAAAGAAAGAAAGAAAGAAAGAAAGAAAGAAAGAAAGAAAGAAAGAAAGAAAGAAAGAAAGAAAGAAAGAAAGAAAGAAAAGAACTGTTGCTTAAGAGAGAGGTTAGGGATGCCTATGGGGACTTGGGAGTCAGCAGGTAAAGCTATAAGAGTGACATAAATTCACTAAGGGAGAAAATGGTGAGAGAAAAGCAGAGGCTGAGAAGCAAGCCTTGGGATAGCTCCTTATTTAGGGCATGGCCCTTGGAAGACAGGTAAGAGACAGAGCCTAAATGAAACACTTTAAAGATCCTGCCTCCTCCCTTGGACCACGTCCTGTCTCTCAGTTCTCACCTCAGGTGTTCTGTGCTATAGGAAGTCCTTCTGACCCCCTCTCCCCTCTTCCCATTCAACCCTTACACCTATCACACTCTTAATTGCCTGTTTTATCTCTTCCACTAGAACAGAGACTCTGAGAGCAGGGAATGAATCTTGTTCATTATTGCCTTCCCAGGGTACCTATTCCCAGGATATCTTCCTGTGCCCCCAGGTATCTATTAAATTAATAATAGTAAAAATAATAAGGGATTGGGCCGACCCCGTGGCTCACTCGGGAGAGTGCGGCGCTGGGAGCACAGTGGCGCTCTCACCGTGGGTTCGGATCCTATATAGGGATGGCCGGTGCGCTCACTGGCTGAGCGCGGTGCGTCGACACCAAGCCAAGGGTTGTGATCTCGTATAACTTCGTATAATGTATGCTATACGAAGTTATTACGCCTGCTGAGAGTAGAGTTGGTTCCTCTGTCAGTTCTGGAAATGAATGGATTCAAACCTAATGGACCAGATACAGGGTGGCAGTTCTTAGAGGCTATAATGATGGGGACTTTTCTTTGAGAGAAGGAAAGAAGACTATTAGTAGAGGAAGCTTTGGAGCTTACATGTCTCAGTGATACTCAGGGTTGCCTCTTTAGCAATGTGTATTGAGATTTTCCCCTTACCGGTCACAAAAAAAAAAGACCAAATAATAATAATAATAATAATAATAATAATAATAATAATAATAAAAATAAGGGATTGGCTTGTTAGCTCATTTGGTTAGGCTGTGGCCTTATAACACAGAGGTCAAGGGTTTGGATCCCCATACTGGCCAGCGACAAAATAATAATAGCAGCAAACATTTATGGAGAACTTACTATGTACCACGCACTGTGCTAAATGCTTCATGGAGATCAGCTCACAATAAAGTATTGCCATCCCCGTTTTACAGATGAGGAAGTTAAGAAGGCTGAGGAAGTTAAATGCCCAAAAGCATTTAACAGGCAAGTGGTAGGAGACTGATTAAATCTATTCCAAAGCCTGTGCTCTAGAAACCAGAGTGATAATAGAGAAGCCTAGAGTGGTGGTTCAAGACTGGGTGCAGAAAGTTAAAGTGAGGTCTGAGAAGATATCACCTGCTGACCAGATGCCAAATGGTACAGAAAGGAGAACACATTTACTCTGACTTAAAATTTTTTTTCCTCCCTATTTGTCACTGGTTTTCTAAACTTTCTCCATGTCTGAGGTTACAACTATAAACACTGCCTTTGGGACAAAATACCTCTAAGAAACCTCGTTAAATGATGGGGGACAAATTTGACCAGTTCAGCACTTGTAACTGATGGCTGAATTAATAGGCTCCTGGCCTGAGGCAGGCAATCAAGTTCGGCTTCTTCATCAACTCTCGGGGACAAGCAACAGTCTTGGGTGTCTCCAGAAAGTACGAATCAGTCAGTGAAGAACTATATTAATGCCGCGAATACATATTGGAACATGGTTCTACTTCAAGAGATATTACAACAGGAAAAGGACCGATTCCAACGGCTTTTCCTCTTTGGGCAGAGTCAAGTTAAAGTGCTCGGATCTTAGCTGAAGGCTGGGCAGAGAGGTTAGTTCCCTGTTTCCTGACGACCATGAACAACTCCCCTTCCTTTATGTTCACTTCCCTACCCCCACCCCCGTCACTTACCCCAACTGCGGGCACTTAAACATTCTTGGGAAACAAAAAGACAATTAGAAGCTCTTCGTTTTGGCTGATTTGGGGAGTCACCTGGATCTTGTGTCCTTACAGGGGCTTGGCCCGCTGCCTGTCCAGACTGGGATGAGATGGAGATGGGGATGGGATGGGGCGGGGGACGGGAAGAAGTCAGCACTGGGATCTGTCGCCACTTGGCTTGAGCATGTGTCAAACTGACACCCGGCCTCAGGTTTCCCACCTGGAAGTCCCGGGAGGGAGAGAAGGAGGGAAAGGAGCTCGCCTCTCCCGCCCAGCGACTCCGCTTCGGCGTCTCCCAGCCAGGCCCAAGCCTATGCTGCTCTCGGCTGCGGTGCCTGATTGAGGGTTCAAGGGAGCCCGCGGAAGGCGAGGGGGAGCCCGGGATGGCCGCTCTGACGAAAGCCCGCCCCTGAGGAAACAGGACCGGCGTCAGGGCGAGAAGGGACTGGTGCCGGGAACGCACCAGACTGCCCCGCCAGTCCGGTACCTGTTCCTGGAGTTAGCGAGCAGTCCTGACCCGTCTCAGCTCCGCCTCCTCAGTTTTATGGTCGCGCAGCCGCCAGGCCGGTTGTTGGGAGGGAGGTACGCAACGTGCCATGCGCAGTAGAGGGACCCTGGGAGGACCGGCAGAGGAGAGCCCCGCCCCGACCCGCCCGACCCCGCCCCGCCCCGCCCCGCCCC